GATCAGAATATCATTCACTGACACAACAGTTGATCTAGAGAAGTTGAAACCAAACCACTCAATTTCTGATCGTTGCCGTCTCCTGCTCAAGGAAGAAGGAAAGTTTGATAAAAAGCTGCTGGAATGTCTCTCCGAGGGTTTCACAAAGGATTTCAGTTCCAGTGACTTTCTCTCACTCATGGAGTCTCTTCTTATCATAGGACCACTGGAGGAGGATCAGTACTTTATTCCCTGTGTACTGGAAACATGTGCAGTTGATGTCTTGGAAAAGATGAGGGGGCAGTTTAGTGAAAGCTGTGACCCTTTGGTTCTGAGTTGGGAAGACAATGTTATACCACAGGGAATGTACCCAGCACTGGTGGTCAGTCTCTTAAAGGAAGGGTTTAAGATGTTAGATGGACAGATACCTTATCGTAATGCTATCAAGCTACAATCAACAGATTTAGGAGTTAACATTCTACTGGTGGACACTATCCAGTGGTTGGAGATACATTGTGCTGGTCCAGTACATAATGCCTGTCCAGAGTTAAGAGTCCTAGTCCATGGATCCATACAGTCTGTCTCCAGCAAGTTCTACTACAGTAGCAATACATTGGAGGGAACTCTTTGCCAGACCTGTGGAGCTGGTGTATGCCGTCGTAACAAAGCCAGAACTAGTATAACATGCACTAATGGTGACTGCTTACCAAGGGAAATAGGACCACGTCAGTCCTGCTGGTTTAGTAAGTGATAATATTGAAAATTATTGTTATATTTTACCTCTCATTGTATAATTAGAACCACCAGCTACAGATTCAGGAGCATCTGCTGATGAATTTTTACTCAACAGAAGTAAAAGTGAGTGAATATTATTAATATGTAGTATTTTTGTGATTAATATTATTATGGATTTGTTATTATTAATATGTACAGTACCTGTTGATAGGAGCAATGAAGTACAAATGAAACCTGATACATCGGATAGTAAGGAAGTATTACTTACATGTATTTTTATTAATTTATATAGTTTTTACAGACCTCTTAGACAAGAAACCTTTTAAGAGTGACCTCCTTAGGTTGTTCAAAGATTCTGGTGTTCATAGTAAAATTATTGGTACTGCACTTGATGTTAAAGTTGATGATCTGTCACCTTTTCCTCAGTATACCTCAGACAACCTCATACTAGTGTTTCAGAGGTGGATGGATTCTGATAAAGGTGTGACCTGGAGGAGCATACTTCAAGTTTGTGAAGATTATCCGGATAAACTTGGAAAAGCAAAATCTGATGTGGAGAGATTCCTGTCATCTCATAGTTCTGATCCTGCTAAATCTCTTTTCTCAACTCGTTTCAAAGCTGTTCCGAAGAGCTTTGTATTAATTTTCATTGCTTCTTTGATATTATTATTATTTGCAATTGGATTATCTTTTTTTATTAGAATTGATTGAGATTTAAGATTGCTTAATTTGATTTTTTATGATCAGCACTTTTATAAGTGGTGATATTTTGTAAAAAAAATATTACTTTCTCTAATGTCCAGTATCATGAAATACACAACTGTGAATCCCATACATGCAGTTACACACAGTTAACTGTTGACTGTAGCTCTGTTGAGAGTTGGAGTTATCATTTTTATAATCATAATTATTAATGGCTGTTCAAAACAATTCTCAGTTCATTGTATTATAGTAAAAAAGAATCATCAGCACAACTACCCTACAGCTGGTTATACATCTTTAAATGAATTATTATATAAAAGACCTTAACAAACATAATTTGATCAACACCAATAAAAATGTGAGTGTATGTGTATAATAGAGCATCAGGTACTTCAATTGTTATACGTCACTCTCTTGTGATGTATTAAATTCACCAGTAAAGTTATTCAATTTCTGAGTTGCTCTGTTTTGTAGAGCAGTGCCATGATTATGTCAGTACCAATCCAAGGATTGCAAATTTATGTATAACATTGAACTATCCCTGCATGCCAATGTTGCCCTACCAATTGTAACTCCACCATTCCCAGAATGGTCCCATCCCTAGGGTGTAATATCTGTGTTGATCAGAGTATCCCACCACTGACACCAATGTAACCCCAACATTCCCGGGATTATCCCAGGTATACCATATAGGGTGTAATATCTATGTCAGAGTATCCCACCATAGATATTAGAGTAAATGAAAGGGATTGGAAATGGGGCATAGCAACAGGAAATGCTGGTTGGGTTACCACGTGACAACCAGCAGTGTTACGATTGTATTCCCATCTCCTCCATTAGTAAAGTTGCTCTGGCAGGATTTCAAAGGAAACTTGTGTTGCTCCAGGATACCACTTGCTTATGATATAATAGCCCATTCTACATAGAATGTTTGGAGCTACCTGCAGCAAGGTTTTTGTCTCTATAAAGTCATTTTGCGGGCAGTAATGGGTACACAAAGTCGCATGTTTTTAAAACACTCCATTGTTCATAAAACTCCGAATCTTCGTAGTATCAACATGTGAGTTAGCTCATTCCACAGGAGATTTTAAGCTCTTCAAAATTACAATTACAGTTACTGCAAGAGCCATCAATGCAGAAGCAGGTGCCATGATTAATATAAACAGAAATGAGATTAAATCATGAACAATGACAATAAATAATATTAGACACACACTTCAGGCACACATGTAGAGTAGTATATACATGTACATGTACAAACAAGAGCACAGGGATTTTAATTAAAAGAATTGATAGACCAGTCTGATAGTGTTTGAGTCCTTTGCTCCTATCCAGTCTATAAATCTTCAGTAAATGAATGGCAGATCCTTAATTGAGATAATTATTAGTTCAAGTCCACAAATACATGTACACATACAGTGTACATGTTACATGTACCTTCTCTTACATGAAATTGGTGGAACTGAATGAGACAAGCAATGATCTAATTCCGGCAATGGACTTTTGAAAATAACGGCCTAAAGTGGGTGTGGTCAAGACTGACAATTGAAAATGAGCAGAGACTAACCTCATACACTGGAGTGAAGAAATTGCGGAGGACACCAGACCCCTCCCCCTCCTCGTTGCTGAAGGATACCCTCAGTCTGTGGACACACAGCCGCTGGAGATTGATACTAACACGATGAAACTGGCACTGATCATTGAG